AAACTAAGGAAACCATGCTGGTTGGATCAGAATTAAGAAACTACAGATCTCAAGCCTTCTGCAGATTGGATCAGAATTAAGAAACAAAATAAGATCACAATTCACAACCAGGTTCTTTGTCAGGTTGGATCAGGTCAAGATTCCTATCTCAACCCAGACCAACACAGCATGCTACAATCTTTTAGGGATGGGGCCAAACCCAATTAACAGGATCCTCACTGCCTCAAATAAAAAAAAAGGGGAGTGAACAAAGGTTAAGATCCCATACTAATTCTTCCCTAATACTCAATATTAAGCAAGAAGCATTCATATGAACTTAATACTAATAATGCCATTGCGAAGTAAGCATTCACAGTCTAAATCAGATAACAAACTCTGTTTGCAATGATAAATCTTCTAAATAACTTATTTGATGTCTATGAAGAATAGATAGCTAGGGGAGAATAAGTTTAATAACTGCACACTAACCTCAATGGAAACCAAATAGTATCGAATTGCAAGATCAATGTCACCCTTCTCCTGTATTATTATTAACCAAAACATCACCTTCATCAGTAACTGATCCCTATCCCATGAATGACCAAAACATCCATACACACAAACCCAAGTGATATTAATTACCTTCCAAGCATTTGCCATGTTTCCATAACACTCCGCAAAACGTGGCTCAAGTCGAAGAGCTTCCTCATTTTTTGCAATGCACATATCATAATCTTGCAACTGTGAGCAAGAAAAATACAAAATAAAATTATGGTTCTAGCCAAAACAAAACAAAAATATCAACCCTGTGAAAGAAATGAAAAAAGAAACAACCTGATAATAAATAGCACCCAAAAGAAGAAGATTATCAGTCCGCTGCGGACTTCTCTCATAAACAACAATGCTATGCTCTAATGCTTGTTTGTAATTCCCAGATTTGTAAAGCTGATGCGCCAGCCCCAAGTGTGCGTCTTCATCCACAACTGCTTTCAAAAATGTTACAAAACTTTCAAAATTATACTTAAATCCTCCGAAATTCGAAAATCGATCTAAAAACTCAAATTTTAACTGAATAAAAAAACAAAACAAAATGCAAAAATTGATTAAAGACAACTAAGATACTCGTTTATCAATTAATTAAAAATAACTAACCTTCATGATGAGAATCACGGCCTTTAAAAGGCAACAAACTCAAAGCAGCCGAAGAAGCCGCCGAAACCGCAGCGGGCGGCTCGATCTTCACCTGGAAACCACCGACGGCGTCATCGCGAGCCGAACCAAACACAACCGGCCGACCTCCGTTCTGCAACGAAATCATCTCGATCTCTCTCCCACGCAACAACAAATCAAATTACAATCATCAAAAGGAAACAGAAAAATCTCCAGATCAGATCAGATCAAACAGCTGATAAAAATCCAGACGACGAAGAACTCGATTTACAAAATAAAAAACCCTAAGCTAATTAATTAAAATTAAGGAGCACAAAATAATTGAACTTTGGGTTTTATTTTTATTTTTTTCGAGCTTCTTTTGCTGCTTCGATTTTTCGCTTCTTTTCGAGGTTTATGGAGGGAGACAGATTGAAATAATGCGCGTGGAGGGTGGTGAGGAGAGATCAGAGCCGTTGAGCAGTGCGGTGATGATGCTAATAGATTAGAGTAATGTGAAAGGGATTCAGTTAGTTCTGACACGTATCTATTAACTTATTTCAGTTTATAGCAGGCTTTTGTCTTTATTCCCTTAAAGCATTCAAAGTTGCCCCAACTACTTTTTTTTATTAGCGATGCAAGGTTACTTTTTTTTATTTTACAGATGTAAGGCAGTGTTTTAATAGATGTTATTTTTTATTAGTATTTTTTATTTAAAAATATATTAGAATAATATTTTTATTTTTAAAAATTTATTTTAAATATAAAAACATTAAAAATACTTAAAAAATTCATCTAAAATAAAAAAATTAATTAATTTTTTAAAGCACATTACCTCCAAAATTAAACATTGCCGACATTGTTTAGAAACACCACCCAAGCAACATTTCCCCAAAATTTAAATTTTATTTTTATTTAAAAATATTTTGTTATATTTTTTATTATTTTAATATATTAATATTAAAAATAATTTTTTTAAAATAAAAAAATATTTTAATATATATTTAAGTAAAACACATTTTAGAAAATAACAATTATCATACCCTTAAACATGCCTCGAAGAATATATAGATCAGTGCACTAATTGGTTTCAATTTAGCAATATTATGATTGAAAATTATACAATGCTCACGTAAATTAAACAACATTTTTTTTATGACTACGGTAGGATAATTGTTTTCGGTGACAGGAAATATAGTGATACAAAATAATTTTGAAGTTTTTAGGGCGATATCATGTTTTTTTTAGTTTTTTTTAGTTTTTTAGGGCGATATCATGTTTTTTTTAGGTTTTTTTTTTTTAGCTTGGAGGCCTCAAGAGTAACCACACACAGTGCTGGTAGTTTGATTAAATGTTGTGAAAAAAACGAGTTGATTTTTAAAATCAATTACTGAATTCTAAATTCTAGATGATGTGTGATTTGTATTATTATTTTTTTAAAAATTAAGAAATAAATGATGCATCATCCTTCCTTTAATATATAAAAAAAGATGAAGAAGCCTTGTGAAAAGGCCAATATATTAAGTCTAGGCAAGTTAAAATAATTATCATGATAAGCATAAACTAAACAAAAATAAATTTTTAAAAGTTTAGTTATAAATTATATGCATTAAAACATAAAATTGCGCACAAATAATAATTTTACTAGAATTAATGTAATTTTAATAAAAGATATTTAACAGCCTTCTAAAAATTATCTAAAACTTATAAAGCTATAAACTAAACAAGATGTTCTAGATAAAAATATTTAGTGAGAAAAATATCTATGTGTGAAAAGAGTAAATTAAAAAAAATTATATCATAACTTAAATTTTAAAAAAGCTAATATCTTCTTTTTCATTGGATCAACTAAACAAAATAAAAATTATATTTTATAAGTATTAGACTAGATGTGTGAGCAAGTTTAGTTTCTCGATTATCCTTAGCAAATTAAATGTTGAGGGAAGTTTAGTATTTATATAAGTTGAAGCTATAAATAGGTATATTATGGCCAACTATAAACCATATAAAGACCATAGAATGTATATTATGTACATATCTAATATAGTGTAAGAAATGGAAAAATATATATAATATAGTATAAGAAATGGAAAACAATCTTAACATTATGCATACTAACATGTTAAATTAAACAAAACTAAAAAGAAATACTTACTTGTTGAACCATTTTAAAATTAATTAAAATTTGCTATTATTAATAATAAATTTTTTATTCTTAAAATTTTAGTGCTTCTTACTTGGTATAAATGATATTTGCAATATGTTTCTAAAAATTTCAACAATATCATTTTATTTAGTTACATTTCTAAATAAAATTTATGAATAGAAAAGAATGTAACTTAAGTATCTTTCAATAAAATCGAACTTAAATTTTAAATTTGATAAGAAAATAAAACTCAAAACAAAGAAGAAAACACTGAAAACTAAAGGGAGGAAGAATTTGTAAGACATGTAAAATAAAGCTTTAAATATATTATTATTAATGATGAATTTTTTATTATTAAAATTTTAGTGCTCCTTGTTTAGTGTAAAGAATATTTACAATAAATCTTTTAGGATTTCAATACAACCACCTGCACTGCAATTCAAAACAAGGTCTAAGAACACGAAAATATCGAAGATTAAATTCAAACAAAATTTTAAACAATTTCCCAACGGTTGTTGGCATGGCAAGACCCACTGCGTAATTTTAATAAAAGATATTTAACAGCCGTTTAAAATTTATCTAAAACTTATAAAGCTATAAAATAAATAAAATGTTTTAAATAAAAATATTTAGTGAGAAAAATATCTGTGTAAAAAGAGCAGATTAAAAAAAAATTATATCATAACTTAAATTTTAAAAAGGCTAATATTTTTTTTTTTCACCGAATCAATTAAACAGAATCTTATTAAATTTTTAAAATTATATTTTATAAGTATTAGACTAGATGTGTGAGCAAGTTTAGTTTAGCAAATTAAATGTTGAGGGAAGTTTAGTATTTATATAAGTTGAAGCTATAAATAGGTATATTATGGCAAACTATAAACCATATAAAGACTATAGAATGTATATTATGTATATATCTAATATAGTGTAAGAAATGGAAAAATATATCTAATATAGTATAAGAAATGGAAAACAATCTTAACATTATGCATACTAACATATTAAATTAAAAAAACTAAAAAGAAATACTTACTTGTTGAAGCATTTTAAAATTAATTAAGATTTGTTATTATTAATAATGAATTTTTTATTCTTAAAATTTTAGTGCTTCTTACTTGGTATAAATGATATTTGCAATATGTTTCTAAAAATTTCAACAATATCATTTTATTTAGTTGCATTTCTAAATAAAATCTATGAATAGAAAAGAATATAACTCTAGTGTTTTTCAATAAAATCAAACTTAAATTTTAAATTTGAAAAGAAAATAAAACTAAAAAAAAAGAAGAAAACACTAAAAACTAAAAGGAGGAAAAATTTGTAAGACATGTAAAATAAAGTTTTAAATTTATTATTGTTAATGATGAATTTTTTGTCATTAAAAGTTTAATTCTCCTTGCTTAGTATAAAGAATATTTACAATAAATCTTTCAAGATTTCAATAACACTATCATACATTGCAATTCAAAACAAGGTCTAAGAACACGAGAATAATACCACTTAAATTCAAACAAAGTTTCAAAACAAGGTCTAAGAACACGAGAATATTGAAGATTAAATTCAAACAAAGTTTTAAACAATTTCCCAACAGTTGTTGGCATGGCAAGACCCACTTCTGGCAAAATGCAAGGGATGCCAGGATAGATACCTCCATCAAGAGTTGGCTTCTGGCGATATAGGTGGAGGATTCTGCCCACTTAACACATTTTAACTTGCTTTAAAGTTAGATAATCAAAATGGAGATGAGCAATATTATTGTGTTAGGAATATACAAGGCAGTTTGTGCTTCTCTTAGTGACTTGCACTAGGATGATTTACCTACTAAAAAAATCTTTCTGGTAAAGAAAACTCTAGTGTTATTTATTACACATGTACAATAAGTTCGTCGCTCGAATTACAATGATGAGTCTGCGAGGAGGAGGAATCCAAGAATCCTTCGAGCTTATTAGACTCAATAAGCATCAAAACAACCTCTCGCATTGTTGGTCTGTCGACAGGAGACATACTTGTGCAGAGCAAAGCAATTTTCATGACAGTAATCATATGAGGGATCGTGTTCTGATCTTGCATATTGACTCGATCATCAAGCATTCCAGGTGATAAGGAATGGACTTGAATGTAATCTCTTACCCATGATACAAGATCGCCGCCTTGATCTAGTGGTTGCACGGGTGTTCTGCCAGTCAGCAATTCCAGTAAGACTACTCCGTAGCTGTATATGTCGCACTTTTCGGTGACTTTCAGAGTGTATGCATATTCTATCATTGAGATCGAAATATTCGTCAGCAATATGAAGGGTTATACAGAAGTAAAAGGCAAACACTAGTAACTTCATGGCCAGCGAGAAACTTTTTACCTCGCAGACTTCCTATTTAAAGCCTTGTTCTGCTATACTTGATCTATGGAAAAGCTCTACTGGACATCGGAGGTAAGATTAAATAATTATGAACTTTTGGCTATCAATGTTTCAGACAGATATTACAGGTTTTGAGGGTGTTTGCGAATAAAGCAGTGGTTGTTTTTTGAAAGTATTTTTTGCTTAAAAAAAATTAAAATAATATTTTTTTATTTTTTAAAATTCATTTTTGATATCAGCATATCAAAACAATTTAAAAATAATAAAAAAATTCAAATTTTAACTGAAAAAACTCACTCCTAAACAACGGTGCATTGGTTACTGAATTTCTGAAACTCATAAGTTAAATTTTAGAAATATCAGTTAGAAGCTCTAGCTTTTAATATGTTGATAAATAAGGCAATCATGCATTATTCATCTGCTTTAGCTTAATTTTCTAAGAAAGGGTATCAGTAGGAATGGAGAAATGGCTTGACAGCACTTTGATAGTACAGTTAAAAAACTGACAGTCAGATTTAAGACAGGAAATGCAGAAGCATCATGAATAAAAGAACTTAGGATAGCTTACCAGGAAATGCAGAAGCATCATGAATAAAACAACTTGGGATAGCTTACCAGGGGCAATATAGCCATAAGAACCAGCAACTGCGGACATTGATTTTGAATGCGGCATGTCAATCACCTTAGCTAGTCCAAAGTCCCCAACACGAGCGTCAAATTTCTCATCAAGCAGAATGTTATTAGACTTTATGTCACGATGAAATATTCGAGGCTTGCAATCATGATGCAAATAAGCAAGACCATGAGCAGCTCCGAGGGCAATCTTGAATCTTGTTCGCCAATCAAGACTAGAGGGTGATCCATGGAGCAATTCTCCCAAGCTACCCTTTGCTAAGTATTCATAAAGAAGTAGGTTGGAACCTTGGTGGTAGCAGAAACCATACAGCTTCACAATATTCCGATGCCTGATATTTCCCAAAGTTTGAATTTCAGCACGGAAACTATTGTCAATATTGCCTCCCTCCCTGTGAGATGCTAGCCTTTTAATTGCAATGATACGACCACATGGCAAGTCTGCCCTATATACGGTTCCACAGGCTCCCCTTCCTATAACGAAGCTATCATCAAAATTCTCAGTGGCCACAACTAAGTCCTGGAAAGTGAATTCATCCTTGGGGGAAAGGTAAATGTCTGAAATGGGAGAAGAGGATGATTTATCTTGCAAGGGAGCAACCATATCGACAGGACGTCTCATGAAGTATACAATGACTAAAATTAAAATGAGAGAAATCCCACCAATGACTGCTGAAATAATAGCTATGATTTTCCCTATACGAAGGCTTCTCCCTTCAGCATCTGAGGGATTAGACGAAAAAGATGGAGATCCATTACAATTGCCAAAAGGTCCACCACAAAGCCCTTTGTTCCCAAAAAAGCTGCCGATGCCTGTCTTTTGAAAGAGTGACAGGGAAGGTAAGGGCCCTGTCAAGTCATTGTTAGAAAAGTTGCATCCAAGCAAGCTAAATAATTTCTCAAAGGAGCCTGGGATTTCGCCACTCAAATGATTGTTGTTGAGCAGCAGAAATTCCAGCAACACAAGATTCCCAAGCTCTGCGGGGATTGGCCCAGAGAGATTGTTGTAACTAAGATTCAGTGCAATCTGCAAGCTCAAAATGCCACCTAATGTAACTGGTATCTCACCGGAAAATAAGTTGCCTCCCATTTGCAAGTAAGTTAAGCGCGACAAATTTCCTACTTCCACAGGTATATTCCCAGAAAGTTGATTCTCTGAAAGCATGAGAATCTCAAGTTGGGAAAGGGCTCCTATCTCACTTGGTATAGCACCCACAAAACTATTCCCGGTGAGATCAAGCCGTTGAAGCATCTTGCAGCTAAAAATCTCTGCTGGTATCACTCCGGTGAGAAAATTCGATGAGACATTAAAAATCACCAGCTGAGAGAGTTTGCCTATCTGTCTAGGCAATTCACCAGTAAAATAGTTACCTGAGAGATGCAGCCTTTGCAAAACATGACATTGACCTATCTCTGGAGGAATTGGCCCAGTGAACTTGTTCTGATCCAATTCAAGACTTGAGAGGTTCACCATCTTACACAAATCCGACGGGAAACTCCCCACAAGGCCATTTGCAGCAAGATGAAGTTGCACCAGTAGCTTGCAATTTGTGACTCCAGTTGGGATATAACCTGTGAGATTGTTTGACCCCAGGTTCAGTAAAATCAGGTTTTCATTTCTGCAAAGATGCCGCGGGATTTCTCCTGTTAAGTGATTATTTGACAAGTCAACCACCCAAAGTTTGCTGTAGACTCCAAGTGCTTGAGGAATGATGCCACTCAATGAGTTGTTGAAGAGCTGCAACATAACCAGTTGCTTCATATGCTGGAACCCCATAGGAATAGTACCAGAGAGATAATTGATGGAGAGGTCAAGCTTTGTCAGGTTTTCCAAAGTTGTGAGCCCATCTGGTATGGAACCGTTAAGCTCGTTCTCAAAAATATAAAGCAATTGCAGCCCAGGTATCTTTGTCAGCTCAGTTGGTATCTCTCCAGTCAACTCATTCTCGGAGAGGTCAATCTCCACTGCAAAAGACAGATTCCCAATTTCTTTTGGGATTGCTCCATTCAAGTTATTTCTGTAGAGGTATAACCTCCTGAGAAATAGAAGACTACCAAGTTCCTGGGGCATAGGCCCCTCAAGTTTGTTATCGTAGAGAGCGAGGGTCCCCAAATTGGTGCAATTGCCTAGCTCCTCTGGAATAGACCCAGAAAGCTGATTAGACCAAAGGATCAAATCTGTCAAATTCTGAAGCATTCCAATTTCTTTTGGTATTTCTTCACTTAACTGATTTTGTGCAAGACCAAGATATTCCAAACTCTCACATCCACCTATCTCTGAGGGTAAGCTTCCCGATATCAAATTCTGCCCTGCCCTAAAAGTACGCAAGTTCTTAAGGTTGCCAAGAGAAGCAGGCAATGGACCAGTGATGTTATTACTATAGGCAATCAATAGTGACAGAGAGGAAAGATTTCCTATCTGATCAGGAAGGGGCCCGGATATTCTGTTGTTGGCTATATTCAAATCTGTCAAACGGGAAAGCTTAGCTAATTCTACAGGGAGCTGGCCTACAAAAAGGTTATTGTCCAGATAAAGAACCTCCAAACTAGAACAGTTTCCAATCTCGCTAGGTATATTTTTGGACAAGAAATTAAAAGAAAGATTAAGAAGTGTCAGATGAACCAATCCACCTATACTTGGTGATAAAGAACCGGAAAGATTCATTGAACTCAAATCAAGACACCAAACTACTTGATTGTAATCACTGATGCAATTCACACCTTTCCATCCACAAGGAGTGGAATCATTAGGATTCCAGTTGCTAAGATGGTCATAGGCGTCACCAATTCTACTCTTTATATCCAAGAGGTATTGTCCCTCAGCATTTAGCCCCATGGACTGGTGAAACGAAAGGGAAATAACAAATACAGTGAGCATGCTATATGATATTCTCTCCATGCCTGCCAAATAGAAATGAGTTGCACTCACATGAAGAGCAAATACTGAAAACAAGACCAAAACATCCGCTACCCAGATACAAACAAAGACAACCAAAAGCAATATTGACTCTAGCTACATACCTCTAAGAAGAAGGAACCAAACCCAGAAGACCAAACTCAGGCTTCTGGGAACTGAAGAAGAGGGCTTTTTGAACTTTACAGAGATTTTCCTACAAGGAAGATCTCTAGATTTGAGTGTAAAGAGTCATGGCTCCATTAAATAAAAGGTTCAAGTTTTATTGTTTTCAAGTCTTTGAAGTGCAACGAATGCGACAAATGTCAGCATCTTTTTATCATCATAAAGAATTAACAGCAAGCTTAGAGTTTATGTAGTCTTCTGTGTAATGATCAACAAAATATTTCCTACTTGGTTTCAGAGATAGCCCATTCATAATTATATATATTTTTTATTGCAAATAATTTGCCTGTATGCATGTGTGAGAGAGAAATGGCCGACAAAGCATGAGAATTCTTTTTTCCTCGTACTCCACCTCTGCATTATTTTAGTGCTAAAACGAAAGTGGATTGCCTTTCCTTCTTTCTTTCTTGCTTTCAAGCTTTAACCTCGTTGTATTTGTTCTCATCTCCATGTGTCTGCTACTTGGCACCTCATATAACTTCCTTTCTAAAGGCTTTTGAGGTAAAATATACGGACTCGTGATTTGCTTTAGATTGGCCCGGTGATTCATTAGATTTGAACATTCTCTTGCCTCTCTCTGCCTACCTCCGTTCATTTGCCCTGTTGCATGGATGGCTAGAGATATCCAACCTGGCCCTCTGGTTATTCTAAATATTTGGTGTGTTTTGCTTTGTATTTTGAAAGCATTTAAAAAAAATTAAAATATTTTCTATTTTTTAAAATTAATATTTTTTAATATTTTCAAATTATTTTAATGTGCTAATATTAAAAATAATTTTTTTCAAATAAAAAATTATTATTTTAAAATATAAAATATTTTAAAAAATAACTATTACCACATTTCTAAATATAATCAGAATGTTTTTTCCTCAAATTCTTTACTTAATAGATATCAACGCACATTTACACCTTCTTCGACCATGTCTTTTCTTCAATGACCACTCTTTTAGTGATCTTTGTTGGCCTCCCATTACCATTCACGAGAGCAATGATTTTGATAGCATATAGTCTTTATTTAGATAGGGTTTTGGAAAAGGGTAGAAACTATATTTTCAAAAAACCATTAAATTTTTTAATTTAAAATTATATAAAATAAAAAAATATTAAAACATTTTAAACCATAATTGATGCCGCCTTGTCAAACATCGCATTAATCTATATATCTCTATTGGCATGTATGACATACACAAAGCCATTGCTTGTTTGTGATGTACAAATTAGTATTCCATCCACAGCTATGATCCACTTAAATAATCTCATAATTTTATATTCACATAGGATAAGCTTTTTTTATTTTTCATTTTTTATCACCTAAGATGTGTCTCCATTCAAACATCAAGAGCCATGCCTCCTGTTTCAATCCCAATATTCCATGCTGTATGAATATTTCCTCCAAGTTTGGTCATCACATGTCTGTAGAAGTATTGTACGTAAATAAAAAAAAATATTGTATATAAATAAAAAAAAAATATTGTAATTCTTTTTTTCAGGTCAATATAGTATTATTGCAAGCATTATTATAACACTTGTTCAAAGCTTGGGGTCCCATCAAGGTGGCTGTAATAGCTAAGAGGCACCACCCACATTATCTGACTCTCTTTTTACGACGGAGATTGAGATAAGTCTATAAATTGTTATTTATAAGAAACCCAGATAAGAATAATTTCTTTTTTATTGGGTGGAATGGTGGAAGTGTCCAAACAGTGAAGGGATATAAGATATGGTTTTTTCATGTAAAAATAATATAATTGTAAATTTTGCTTTTTTTTGGTAGTGATGTTGCTGTCAGCTAAAAGAAAATGTATTTTATTGTAGAAATGGTATAATTATAAAATTTGTTCACTGCTTTAACTGTAGCGGTTTTTTTTTTAATTTTAGAAAATAAGTTTTTCTAATATTTTTTTATTATACTTGATATTTTTATTATTTTACACTTATCTATTTATCATTCTTTTTTTCCTTATCTTTATTTTTTGTGATATTTTTTTAGTTTTTTTCCTTTATTTTCGTATTATATTTAACACTTAACCTATTTATACTATTTTTGTTCTAATCTTTATTTTTAAAATTTTTTTATTTATATTTTTTAAAAAATATTATACAGATGATTACAAAATGATGTTACACTATAATAATAACAATGTTGTTCTACTACCTTAAAAATTAGTTTAAGATGTTACATATTTTTATTAACATATATATCTATATAAGTATTGACTTTTTAATTCAATGTTACATTTTTTAATTGATAAAAAAATATATTAATAATACCTATATATTAATTCTTTAATATTAAAAAATATTATTCAATTTACAACGAGATGGGTTGAATAAACATGTCAACATTTTATTTTTTATATTTATTAACACAAACAATTCTTGATGTATTTATTTAAATAAATACATAAACTTCTTAGTTTATAATTAATTAAAAAATAAATTTAAAAAATTTATATATATATATATATATTGAGAATCAAGGTCGAATCATCCTAGAAGGATATATCGGAGCCTTCCTTTCATACGTACGTGGGTTTGGCTAGGCATTAGGCAAGGATTGAATTTTTATCATCTAATTGGCTCTGAAACCAAATGGTTTAGCTGCATCTAAAAGTAAGGTAGCTTGTAAATGCAATGGAAATATAAAACACATAAGACTTATTTATAACTATAATTTACAAAATAAGCAAACATAAATTCTACAAATACAGATAATTAAAGGCAAACTTACCAAATATTCTTCTACAAAATAATCTAGACTATTAATTTTGTTAAAGAAAAAATATGTGCAGCATAAGACTTTAAAGAGGACATTTAGGCTGTGTTTGAATATTTTTTAAAAGTAATTTTTTTTTATTTTAAATATTAATAATTTACAATGAAAAAATAATAATTAATTTTTTAAAAATATTTTTTAACGTAAAAACAAGCATAATATTAGAGCAGCTACCCAACTATATCCTCTCCTAAAGTCTACAGAAGAACACATGGGAAACATTGACGGGCTCGAATTCTCTTGAAATTCGAACTTGAACTCTCTCGAAATCCATGGCATTTAATTCAGGTTCAATCCGAATCTGAGCTGCAAAATTTTGTCAGATGTTGAAAAGTTGACAGGAATCTTGCAGAGGATATTGACAAAGGACTTTAATAAAGAAGAATCTTTCAGGTCCCGAAACAGCTTTTAGCAGCCGGATCTTGCTGCTACGAGCGCTGATAGAAAGAGAATTCAATTCCATAGCAGTCAGTACAACTAGTTGTTCGTCTGAACCAGAGTGAATTGATCCTGTTAAAGAAGCTATCTTTGGCACTACATGGGCCATCTCAATTCTCATTTGGTGAAGTACATGGTGCAAGCTGAGATACATATATAAGAATGGATTGTTCTTGAGAAACACAGGACTGAGGATTTTTAGAAGGCCACCATCCTTCAACTGTCTGGGGATTTTTAGAAGGCCGCCATCCTTCAGCTGTCTGGGGTCAGTGTAATGTGCATTGGATTTCTTCCACCATTTGATTTTGACTTTTCTACAGAGCTGATGTTGTCATGGTTGAGAAATAAAGGGATCCCGGGATAAAATCCATGTAATTTTAAGAGTATACCAAGCATTTTTGTAATCTTGGTAAGAAAATGTTGGATGATACGAAGCATTTTTGTAATTTTTCAGTATGAAATGTTTTTGTAATTTTAAGGATAATTGTGTTAAAAACAAATTAAATAAAATTATAAAATTTAATTATCCAACAACTAATATTTAAGGGCAAGATAACTTAGATTATTTTTACAATTAGTGAAAAATACAATAAAAAACAAATAAAAAATAATAATAGATCCAATCTCTAGTTAAATAAATATTAAAAAATATAAATTTAAAAAAACAAAAAAAAAACTAAGAAAACTTGTGAGAATTTTTTACATTTGAGTTAATTTTTTAAAATCATAACCCATGAAATCCTAAACCCGAGCTCAATCTAGATATTCAACCTCTAACTAATTTAATGTTAAATAATGAGATTGAAAAAAAATTATTTTTTTAAATTCAAAGTGAAAAAATAGTAATTAAAACAATAGTAACCAAATCTCATATAAAACAAAATCGAAGGACAATGAAATCATTAAAAAATTAATTTTAAAAATGATCTTAAATAAAATAAATAACAGTACTAAATCTAATAGATAAAATAAAAAATAAATGAGGATAAAAATGAAAAAAAATTAATATTATAAATTATTATAAAAAAATAATGATCAAAAGAATATTGATCAAAATAGAAATATAAACAAATTGAATAATTTCTTTAAAAAATTAAAGAGTTAGGCAATAAAATAAAAAAGGAGAGAGAAAATAAAGAAAAAAAAAAGATTATTGTACCCAAATTAAAGATTTTTTAAATACATGTGTTGCTTAATAATGAAGGCGCTTATAAAATGAATTGAATGATACCTTAAAAGTCATCGTTTGATTGCTAGATAACATAGCATATGCCACTTAAAAGTTACTGGGAACCTACGAGCTGGTGTGTGCATTACTCACTCCATCTATTTTTATTTGTAAGTAATATTTAATAGTTATTAAAACACTACTACTCTATTTGATTATTACCAAAAACCAAGTTGAACTCCAACTCGGGACCAATATTTTTAGTTTAAAAATAATCTAGTCATTTTATCACACTAAAAAAAATTAAAAAGATGAAAAAATTCCTTAACCCAAAGTTTTTAAAAATATAATTAGGTCATTTTATTATGTGAAAAAATACAACGGATCATGTGGGAAATAACGTATTATCATCCCTGATAGCAAGTTAGTGATATTGTTTGAGAAAGCATTTTTTTTTATTTTTTATGGTGGAGTAATTTACCAAAATGATATTTAACTAGTTGTTCTTTCTCATCTAATCTTTATTTAAGCGTCTATTTCTACTATAAGAAAAGCTATGGGTTTAATTATACATAAACATGGAAGAGTTTGAACATGTTTTTTTTTTTTTTAATCCTTTCGAGCCATAAGTGCGTGTTTATGAGACCATGCAGGTGGACTGTTTTTCCCAATCGTCCATACAGAGGTTCACATATTTGTCTAAAATCTTCAAAAAAATCAGCTACGTAATTCAAACATTCTAAACATTTGCAGTTGAATTAGAGTATACACTATTTTGTTTTTCTTTAATTTTTGTTATTAGATCAAAGCAGTACAGTTGTCAGAACACAAGATATTTTCATTCAGGAAAATAATTAC